AAGCTTCAAGTTTGGTACGTACCTCTTGCTGAACATTCTGGACTTGTGAAGCCATGGTATCTGCTTGCTTGTGAATCTTTTCGGAGGAAGGCAACTGGAGAAGATCAATTGCATGCTTGGGAGTTTTTGTGTAAACAATGGAAAAAGGAGACCGACCAATGGAGGAGTGCATAGAACTGTTATATGCAAATTCAGCCTGAGCAAGAGCAAAGTCCCACTGTTTGACGTTCTCATAGCAAATACAACGAACCAAATTTCCCAAGGTTCGATTTGTGACTTCAGTCTGACCATCAGTTTGCGGGTGAGCAGTGCTACTAAATTGTAAACTTGCATCAAAGCGCTTCCACAAGGTAGTCCAGAAATGAGATAAAAATTTTGTATCCCGATCAGATGTGATTGTGCGTGGGACACCATGGAGTCTGACCACTTCTTGGAAAAATAAACGAGCAATGTGAACTGCATCACTAGTTTTCTTGCAGGGAATGAAGTGCGCCATCTTTGAGAAGCGATCAACAACTACGAAAACAGAATCAAACCCTCTTTGTGTCCGTGGCAACCCCAAGACAAAATCCATGGATAAATCTTCCCGAATATTTTCTGGGGTTGGCAATGGCATATAGAGGCCTGTATTCTGGGAGTGCCCTTTATTTGTTTGACAAACATAACACCGTTTGACAAAAGTTCCAACATCACGTTTTAGTTGAGGCCAAAAGAACCGTTCTTCAACAGAGACAATGGTTTTATCTCTACCAACATGACCACCCAACCCGCCAGCATGCAAGACCCGGATTAATTTTTCACGCAAAGAGGTTCGAGGAATGCAAAGGCGATTACCTTTAAAAAGATATCCGTCAGAAATGTGATAATCTTGTACTGGAGTATTCTGTAAAACTTGTTTCCAAATAAGATTGAAATCTCCATCTTCGGCATATTGCTCCTTTAGAACTTCAAACCCGATAATTTCACCTTGCATTACCACGAGTAAGGATCTGCGTCGGCTAAGTGCATCAGCTACGCGGTTGGTTGCTCCTGATTTATGCTTGAGAAGGAAGGTAAATTGTTCAAGATAAGCCGCCCAACGAGCATGCATTTTATTGAGATGCTTCTGGCTCCGAAAATATTTTAATGCTTCATGATCTGAGTAGATTATAAACTCTCCTGGTCTGAGGTAATGAGCCCAAACATGCAGTGCCCGTATAACTGCATAAAGCTCTTGTTCATATGTAGACCAATTTTCTCGTGCAGCACTCAATCGCTCACTAAAGAAAGCAATAGGTCGACGATTTTGAGATAGTACTGCCCCAATACCAAGTCCACTGGCATCACACTCCAATTCAAAAGGTTTTGAAAAATCTGGGAGAGCCAGGACAGGTGCTGTGGTGAGTTTTTTCTTGAGTTCAGTGAAACTCTGCTCAGCTTTCTCCCCCCCAACGAAAACCACCCTTGCGAAGGCAATCAGAAATAGGAGCAGCAATAGTACTGTAATTTTGTATAAACCTTCTGTAGAACGAAGCTAGACCGAGGAAACTTCTGACTTCACTTACTGACCGAGGTCTAGGCCAGTCTCGTATCACTTGGACTTTCTCATCATCTACGTGAACTCCTTCTGCACTGATTACGAATCCAAGGAAAACCAACCTTTTTGTCATGAAAGAGCATTTTTTTAGGTTGATGTACAACTTATTTTCACGCAGGACTTGCAGGGTAATGCGTAGGTGCTCCTTATGCTCCACTTGATCTTGGCTATAAATTAAAATGTCATCAAAATAAACAACGATGAACTTTCCAATAAAAGCTTTGAGGACTTGGTTCATGAGTCTCATGAATGTGCTTGGGGCGTTTGAGAGCCCAAATGGCATAACAAGCCATTCATAAAGTCCATCTCGAGTCTTAAAAGCCGTCTTCCATTCACCACCCGGCCTAATGCGCACTTGGTGATACCCGCTAAAGCTAACCACAAAGCTAACATGCTCTCCATCTTCTTCTGCAACTTCAATATTCTCCTCAATAAATTCCTCATCACCTCCTTCCTCTGTTCCACCATCTATCAAGTTTACAGTTTTTCGAGCTCTACACTCATTTGACCGATGACCGGGTTCGCCACACTTAAAACATTTACCGGTCATTGGTCTGGCGTATGGATTTGAGATAGATTTTTGTGCAGGAACATTATTACCTTGTTTTTGTTGCTGGTTCTTTGAGCTGCTTATGTCACTAGCCAACACAGGTCGAGATGATGGGGTAGCAGCTTGAATAGAATTTACGTCCTGTGATTGGGTCGTCATTGGCTTTGGTGTAGAATATGTTCTTCTCTGATTGGACGGCGTGAGGAGGTCCTCTGCTCGGACGGCCATATTATATGCCTCATCAACAGACCAAATAGGAGTGAGCAACATCTTTTCTCAAATATTAAATCTTAACCCGTTAATGTATCGGGCAGTCTGTTGCTCAGGTGTTTCAGACAAATTGCAGCGCGCCCCTAATCGATAAAATTCCTCTGTGTATTCACTCACACTTTGAGATCCTTGAGAACACCTTTGATATTTTTGGAACAGTTGTTGTTGATAATCTGGTGGTAAAAATCTTGCAGTCATAAGCCTTTTCATTTTTCTCCATGAAGTAATGAGTCTCTTTCCTTGCCTTCTCCTATTGTTCTGCGTGACCTCCCACCATGCTGCTGCTCCACCTCTTAGCTTATGTGCTACGTATTTGGCCTGACGTTCCTCTGGTATTTCCATCATATCGAAGCATTTTTCGACCTCATAACACCACTCAAGGAAAGATTCAACATCCAAGTTTCCATTAAAGGTAGGGAGATCCACCTTTGGTCGGTAATAATTCTGTCTGCGATCAAGATTGTTCATATTATGATCCTCATCTTCAGAGTCACTACTGCTCACGCTGGGAGGTGGCAGATTAGCTTGCGGGAAGGCTCTTCGCACAGGTCCAGCAGCAGGGTTATTTCCTTCGTCGTTGTTAGCCGGGATGGCCCCGCGACCAACAAGTTGCAGGCTAAGGTTGGCAAGAATATTACGGATGTCTTGAAATTCACGGTTCATGTTGTCACCTTGCGTTTGCAACGCTGCCCAGAGGGCGTCAACACCACGGTCATTGCCAGTGGGTGGAATGTTTACGCCATTGTTATTGCCGTTGTGTGCCATAGTGGGTCGAAAACAATGGAGAGGACAAAGTCGCTATCTCGATTGTTTGCCTAGGATCTTACGGCTCTGGATACCAACTGACGTAGGATGGAAGCTCAAGAAACAATCACACAAATTATAAGAACTCAAAGGGAATAATATTCTTCTTCAATATCTCCAGGATTACAAAATATATGAATATATAGGCAACTCCCTATGAGAATCCGCAACAGAAATATAAATGCAATGTTTTGAGAATGGAAAAGGCATCTAGAGCCACATGAAAAATAAATACTTGATATAAATAAAAACAACTAATAAATGCATGGGACTTTGGGACTTGTATTTCAGTTGCCTGCATGTGTGAACGCCATCAATGAGTTTGAGCCCAAGTTGGGGCAATATTGACTTTTTGTGCTTTGATCAGTATGTTGAGAAAGTAGTTATGAACATATACTATTTGTAACAGAGTCAAGAATACTAAAAAAAAATGTAGAAAAAGGTAAAATGGTCACTAAAAACCAACTCCGCACTCGCAATTGTAAATGGTTAAGGTGATACTTATTAAGTGTTTAATTGTAATTTTATTTTGGAATCTAAAAGAGAAAGGAATTAAGGCAGTGATTTTGGTGGCACTCCAAAATATTCTTCTCGATTTAGGAATTTCCAAATGATCTTCGAATGTTGCTCACATTCGTTTTGGTATGTTAGATTAATTGTCATGTTTGTGAAGTGTCGATTGTTGGATTTTGTTACAAGATGAACATATATTATGTGAAGGGGTAAAAGTGATGGTGGTAAACAACTTAAACATGATCGAAGAATTGACAAGCTGGTAAACAAACTATTGGTTTGTAACTCAGTTGGTTTTCTTGAAATGATGCATATTGTCTTAGTACACAAACTAATTAAAAGATTTATTTATACTTTTAGTTGAACTATTGAGGCATTTGGTATCTTCTATTATAATATAGCAGAAACTATAGTTCTCGCCAAAAGTAATAAAAAAATAAAAAATAAATAAAATAATATATATTGAATTGAATATATTGAATTAACAAATGCAATGTCGTGTCTATTCAGAATCCAAGTCTGTTATAAAATAATAATAATAATAAAATTGAATATATTGGATTAACAAATGCAATGCCGCGTCTATTTAGAATCCAAGTCAGTTCAGAATTCAAATCAATTCAAGTCTGTTCAATGAAGAATTAAACAAATACATTAAAGAATTAAATACATTGTTGATACAAAATTAAATTCTTCAATGCCTTTTTCAAAAAAAAATTCTTCAATGCCTATGTCTGTTCAGACTCCACGTCTGTTCAGAATTCATCAAATCAAATCAAATACATACATACATAAAAATAAGGATACAACTTTTGGGATTACTAACGTAAATATGGAACAATTTGATTCCTTAACAATTCTATAAATAGTGAATTACAGGCCTATGCATTCAACCACACGTTGCTGAACAACAAGTAATATCTCTCATCTCTCATACAGTATGTATCCAATGTATGTTCTTGGAAGTGATATCTCACCCTTCAATGTTACGAGTGCAATGAAGGTTCGCGTTATTCGTGCATACAATGTATCGGAGAGGACAGGAAGCAATGCAATCAGATGCAAGGAAATTGTGTTTCATGATTCTGAGGTGATAACAGATGCAAGGAAATCAATGCAATCTCATATTGAATATAACACTGTTTAATTTCAATATTTATATATTTATTTAAATTTCAATATTTATATATATATATATATATATATATATATATATATATATATATATATATATATATATATATATATATATATATATATATATATATATATATGCAGGGAACATTGGTACATGCCCACATCCCAAAACAATTGGTTCCAAAATTCATTAACAATTTTAAGGAAGGTTCAGTTTGGGCTGTTAAGAATTTCTTGGTCATCAACAACTTCTACACGTACAGGACAACCCCTCACAAGTACATGATCAAGTTCAATTACCAGACTATAGCTAAGCAATTCAAAAGAATTGAGTTTCCAAGTCAGATGTTCCGTCTCACACCATTTGAGGCTCTAAAAGTTGAAGGTGTTAATGATAAGCTGTTGGTTGGTACGTATATTATGTTGAAATTACCTTTTTTTTTAAAAAAAAAAATTTATTTTTATTTTCCAGTGTGTTAAATTTTGTTTTAAATTTCATTACAGATGTAATTGGAAAAGTGGCTGAAATATACTCACCTCAAGAAAAAATGATTTCTGGGAGAACAACTCGGCTTATAGACTTTATCATTGAGGATTTAAGGTAATTATTTAATATATATATATATATTTAAATCTGTATTATATATCAACTCAGGAAAAAATGATTTCCTGGAGAACAACTTGGCTTATAGCCTTTATCATTGAGGATTTAAGGTAATTATTTAATATATATTTAAATTAAGAAAGTCAAGTTGCTAATGAGATAATGTTAAGGGAAAAGGGAGACCAAATCTTAGTCTGGTCATGATTGGTTGGATCAATCACCATGCCTGGTGGAAAATTAAGGCATCAATTTATTATAGGTTTATCACCACTAAAAATCATTTCATGATAATATTATATCAACTTGAAAAGAAGTAGGATGTGCAATGGTGAAAGAGTAACGGAACCAGTGATCTCAACAGTTAAACAAAGGCACTCAAATGGAGACTTACAGTAAGAGGATTGCCCAAAGGGTTCCCAGTCTGTGGATCCCAGCATATAAGCTCCCCAATTTTACTTATCAATTATTAAATCTATATCTATATATAAAGTTGGGTACTTATTTATTTTTTGGTATTAAAAGTTTGAGAAATCTAATTTCCCTCAACTTTTACAGTGGAAATCAGATTAGGTGTACTCTATGGGATGATCATGTTGGTAAGATTGAGCCATTTTTTAATGCAAGTAGTCATGAACCAATGGTGGTGATCTTGCAGTTCTGTCGAATTAGGAGAGATGCCACGAGTAAGTACATATATACTTATATATACACTATTCTGTGTAAAATATGTGTAACATTTGTTAAATGTCTAGATGGCGAGGTGAGGCTTTGCAGCTCATATGATGTGACACAAGTCCTTATTAACCAGCAATCTAAAGAGTTTTTGGAGTTTAGGGAGAGGTAAAAGTAATTTATTTTTAAGTATTGTACTATTTTTTAAAAAAAAATTGTTTCTTATGACTTTACTATTTTTAGTTTAATTCTTCGTGGTGTGCAAACACCCATGAGGAGCATTGAATCCTTTCCAATGATGGAGCAGACCCAATGTAATGCTCAAGATATGAAAACTATCAGTGAAATTTACCAAACCAGAGAGGTAATTGGTTTGTGTTGTATAATAATAAAAATCTACTGTATTAGGTTTTAAAATATATAAAAACCTAATACAGTAGAGCCACAAATGGTGTGAGATTATAGCAACTATCCATGCAGTACTTATATGCATTTTACAACTTTTTATGCTATAGTATGGGGACTACTGGGTTGCAGCTAGGATAGTTGCTATAGAGGATTCTGTCAATTGGTATTACAGTTCATGTAGAGCTTCTGGCTGTAACAAGAAGCTTGAGTCAAAAGGTGGGCTATATTACTGTACAAAGTGTGAAAAGAGCTGTCGAGAAGGTAATTTGAGATACAGGTTGAAGATCAGAGTTGCAGATCTAGAAGGAAATGCACCTTTTCTCCTTTGGGACAGAGAGTGCAATCAGCTATTGGGAATTTCTGTTGCAGAGTTGAAGTCAAGGCATTCAAATGTATATTTTTATAACATTTTAGTTCTGGGAATATATATAAATGTATTTTACAGTACGTGTTGTTGTGTTGTTGATTCTTAACGGGAGATTTATTTTTTATTGTTAGGCAACTCAACTGATCCCATCAGAATTACAATCCTTGGTTAAACAGTGCATGCTATTTAGGGTGGTCGTTAGGAAAGAACAATTTGAGAATCTCGACAACGTATTTTCTGTCATGAGGATAAACACTGACCAAAGATTGATTCAAGTGCATGCACCAGAGCTTCTGCGCATTCCTGACAAGTATTTGAGCTCCAAAGTTGACCAAATGGTGGAGGATGATGATTTTGAGGAGGTACACTTTATGTTATTTTATTGTAACGATTATTATGTGCAAATAATAAGTTTGATTTTTTTTTAATTAGGAATTTGTTGAGGTTGATGAAGGGGAAAATCTTCTTGGGGTTGGTGTTGCTTGCAATCAAGATGATGTGGGTGATAGTTCAGTTGTAAAGAGGCGCCTTCTAGACGAGTCTTCATCAACCCAGACATCAAAGAACAAAGGGATTAAGGAGGAAAGTGATTGAATATAAATTGCTTTGCTGAGGTTTCTGATGCATGTGGACCAGGATGCCTGTTGGCATTTTATCTTTTTTTTTTTTTTTTGGTTATTGGGTTACAAAGACAGTATGATGCCTTTTGGCATTTCTTTTCTTTTTTAATTTTGGTTACATCTGCTACTAGGGTCTTTGGTGGCTCAAGGACAAAAAATGGTACATGGATCTTTTAATAAATTGTGCCTGACTCAAGGATCGTTTTGCTTATTTACCGTGGTTTGAAAAATTTACTGTTTTAAAATATTTGTGAATTGTGAATTTGTGAATATTAGGTTTGATTATCAAGTTTTTCAATCACCTCCTCTTCCAAGTAGGTGGTTGCATTGTAATCAAATTGTTTGGATTGTTGAATATTTTTTTGCAGTGAGTTCAAGTATTCCTAAACATATATAGCAGATGTGGTGATTAGCTGATGTGATGATTTGGTGATTAGAGTCCATGGTGAAGAAATTCCTGTGGATCTATAATAGTCCATTGTTTTTACATCGAGTGAGAAGCAGAAATATTTATAGATCTATAATAGATGTTTATAGAGAGTCCATTATTTTTTTTTCTTCGGATGTATAAATGTGTAGATTATTATAGTTTTGAGTTGTACAATATTGTAAAGTATTGAAAATAAGTACTTTTGAATGTATAGATGTATAGATTATTATATTTTTGAGTTATACAATATTGTAAAGTATTGAAAATAAGTACTTTTGATAATTCTCATGATTGAAAATCTCAAATTAGTGCAACAATATCCTCAAATGATGTACTCAGAACATTACAATTAGCTTTTGTAAAAAAAATTTACAGTCTAAAACTTAGTAATAAAAGACAACAATATAAAGTTAACTAATGCTGTGAAAAAAAATAATGTGCAACAATGTGAGTAAGAGGCCGAGAAATGGGAATTTCTAATTGACATATATGTTAATGAGCAATTGAGCATAGAGTGTATGTATAGTGTATAGTGAGCTTACAGGAGAGTGGTATTTCCTTCCAAGCCTCGCATGCCCTTTGCCGTAGTTTCTCGAGAGGGTAAACACCAGCCACGCAGAAATTAGCGGGATCCTCATGCCGCATTGTGTACTCCTTTAGGTATATCGGCTTGGCATAGTTTCTCGAGAGGGTAGACGTCATCCATACAAAAATTAGCGGGATAAATTATCAAAATATCTCAAAACTAATATTAAGAATTCTATGACAAACTAAGACAAGCAGCAAACTACTATGTTGTCTGAATGGAGTAGTTTTAACAGAGCTGACATTGTAAGAGAATTGTGCAAACTTACTTAATGGTTGGGGGAGAGTTAAGTGTTTGCATAGACCGTCAATCCCAGCATCAATGATGGAAGCCAGACCGAGGTATGGGTTTGCACATCCGTCAAACACCTTAACCTCAAAGTCGTTAAAGCCATTCGGAACTCTAGGTGAACTGGCTGTTCTTAGATGATGAGTGCACTACACCATGCTTTCTGAACAAGACACCAAAAGACAAACAGACGAAGATTTCGTCTCAGAACTGAAATAATAAATATTTTTCCTTTAATATCACTAAGATGAACAGATGTTATGCTCAGGTTATCAACAGAAGTACACAAATATAGAGGATTAAGCAAAACCATCTCAGAAAAATGAGCTTTACTCTGTAATTTTAGGAAACACCGAAACACAAAACCTCACCCCTCAAAGCCCCTACCCTCCTTCCCGACTCTAACTCCCCATACATGCTCAGCACAGATAAGCAGGTTGTCAATTGAGCATCACATCACTCAATAATGGACAAGAACGCTGGAACCATCTGGACATGGGCATAAAGCCATAAATACAATGGAAGTTTACACTCACCAATACCCACAAATTTAGGCCCAAGTTACACACAGATGTGGGGTTTATTTTCATAGTATGGGAGATAGCTGCCAACATGATTGTCCTAAAGACAGTAACCTCAAAACGACATTGAGATCATCTTAAGTGAAATACTAAAAGCTTCTTCATTTAGCACTTTATTAAGAGAGTTATTAAATATAAGGGCCTAAGGGGAAGCAAAATGCTGAGCAGCAATATTAAACGGTAATAATAAAATTCAACATTCACTTTCTAAATTCATAACATTCACGGTAATGGTTGACATCAACTCACTATGTATGCACAAAAACTGGAGTACCCATATACTCTTCCACCCTTCTCCATTTTTATCTTTGTTTTCCTTTTCAGAAGGAAAACTGGAACATTGAAAAAATTAAAGAGAGCAAATAGAGATGATGGGTTAGGTATGCCATGGTTTAGGAAGTCTACCTGCAATCGAATGTGAGGCCAGTCTCATTTTCCTTCCAAGGCTCCCTCCCCTGCCATATAATCTCGGCTGTGGACTGCATCAAATGCAACCGTTAATAAGGACTAATAAGCCACAAACTGTTCTCGGGCAGCAGAAAAAACTAAACAAATGTTCTAAAACCTTTGCACGCGAGATTAGACTTGCAAAACATTGGTCATAAAATAATATTTTAGAATTTTTACTAAAATATATTATTTTCACAGTCAAAAAATACTAATTTTATTTTCGACATTTAACACTGCAAAATATGAATAGGCAACACAATTAATAATCAAATTGGTATTTAGAATCCAACTATTAGTATTCCACTAACTGAACAGCTGCTATAAATCTAAGCTATCACTACTTTAAAGCTATTTAGTGAGAAATGAAGAAACTTACAGGTTCTGTTTGTATAGGATCCAAGCGAAGGACTGCTGAGAACCACAGAGGTCAGTCTAACATTCATCTCTTCTTAAAGCATTATAAGTGGTGTAATAGAAGTACGAAAGCTATGCGGAGTACATTCATCCCTATCTCATCAAATCATCCCAATCCTCTCTCTCTCTCTCTGTTACCCGCCTCAGTTGCGATCTGACCATTTCCCATACTTTTCATGCTGATCTGACTATTTTCGCATTGAACAACCCGAACCCGTGGATGTTTCGTCATTCAGTGATCTCAGTCTCACCCTGGACCTCCCCTCTAACCGAACCAGTGGATTCATACTTCATAGTGAAATCTCAGAATATTTTAGGATCTATGAACTTGAGATGTGAAAAAATACATAGATCCACAACCTTGAGCTTTCCAAAAAAACATATCCAAGTAGGAGAAGTAGAAGCATCTTCTTCGTTTTGAAAAGTGTAGAGAGAGACAGAAATGGTGAAATGAGAAGCTTCCCGAGAGACATATCTATTGACTATCATTTTCTTTATTACTCCGTATTATTATTATTATTATTATTATTATTATTATTATTATTATTATTATTATTATTATTATTATTATTATTATTATTATTGGCGTGGGGATTATTGTTAACATTTTTTTTATTTAATGTATTATTTACTTTATAAAAACTATAATTACCATTTTTTACATTGTATAAATAATATTAGTCAATTATAATATTACAAAACGAATGGATAGAATTTTAATAATATTTCTTTTGTTCATCTATTTATATTTCTGGGGGTAATATTTTTTTGTCTTTGGGTCAATAAATTACATTAAATAAATCACAGTAATACTTTATTTAAAAAACATTCGAACCAATCTTTTTTATACATTTATTTTTCTATTTAGTTATAGTTAGTAAGTTAGTATTATTATTAGAACATAACAATATTTATAGAATGTTATTTTCTTTTATATTTTATAGTATTTAATTATTTAATTATTATTACGGTATAAAATAAAAATTATAATTTCCATTTGTAGTCAATTTCCTTTGCACTTATCTGTAGATAACATTTTTTTTTTTTGAAAGTCTGTAGATAACATTAAATATATTGTTATATATATATATATATATATATATATATATATATATATATATATATATTTATTTATTTATTTATTTATTTATTTATTTATTTATTTATTTATTTATTTTCTCAGAGAATGAAATTGTGTCAAGTTCTAAGATAAGTAAAGCTTCAACCAGTGGAGGTCTATGTGATATTACAACACGAAATCATATCTACGGTGTATTTCAAGCATCACTCTCTACCCCGTTGCGTATAGTTTCTCACGGTTAGACTTAAAGTCTTTTTTTTTTTTTTTGTATGTTATTTTTTGTAATGTGAATTATTAATTTTTTTAATGTCATCATTTGTAGAACGCACATTAATTAGTTCATCAATCCACGACATACATCATGCGTCAGACAATGGATCATCTACACGTACGAATATTCAAAATCAAAATTTGATATATATATAAAAAAAAAAACAATGAAAGTATATATTCTGTTCAAATTTACTTATTATTATTATAACATCTAATAAGATGTTAATTCTATTAGGATGTGGGAATGGTACAATAAATGATGTGCAAATGCATTTGGAGTCAAATTGTGATTCAGCTCTCCCGACTCAAAACAACTATCCCAACCTAAGTGTAGAAATGGATGAAGTGCTTGGTCATCAAACAAACACATCAAACATACAAGATGGTTAGTTTATAAGAATTTGATTGTATAAAGTAAATATTGTCTCACAAATTCTTAATATTCTATACTACAATTTCAGTTGAATCTGTAGACCTTGGTGACCCGGACGACATATGTGAGCATTGTGGTGGTTTTTTTTGGTACGAGGAAAGACTCTACAAGTCAAAAACAAAAAACACAGTTAAATACTCAGGATGTTGTGTGAACGGGAAAATCAAACTGCCTAGAAACACACTACCTCCAAAGAAGTTATATGATCTTTTTTTTACATTGAGTGAAAAGCAGAAATATTTTCTTCAAAATATAAGATCGTATAATAATATGTTCTGTTTTACATCAATGGGTGCTAAGATAGACAGGACAATAAACAATGGGTCATCCCCTCCAATTTTCAGAATCCATGGTCAGAACTTCCATCGTATTGGTAGCCTGATTCCACCAAATGGGACATATCCGAAGTTTGCACAATTGTATATTCATGATACTGAT